ATCAAAATATCAAGAATCAGCAACTGGAATTCGTTATAGGACTTGTTACATGGGTTTTTTTTTCCTTCTTTATTAAAGCAATAATAGAAAATAAGTAACTTAACAACAATAATAATGAAAAGAAGTTGTTTCATCTCTGTTTCATTCTATTTGTGTGTTGCTATTGAGTGGTTGAAACCTTTTACCAACTTAGGGTTGATTGTCTCTCATCTTAGCTTCCTAAAAGGTGAAATAATATCGGTTAGCCTAATCGATCACAGCCACAGTGGAAAAAGGAAGTGCAATGATCAAAGACTTTTTTATGCTCAAGTTAGTGAATTTGGAATGCGGTTGAACTCAAGTAGAGATTGAGAGATTTCAATCTGAAACGAATAATGTGACATTGCATTTAATGTCATTTAGCTGTCATCTAAATTAATATTTAGTATCACCAAGGTTGAATAACATTAATCATAAAAGATATTTTGCATAAAACATGAGGAGAAATCAATAAACGTTTCTTGACCAAACTAGATAATATTATCAGAGTATACAAAAGTTCTCTCTTTAAATTTAAAGATATTCTCTATTATACATAAAATGTTATTTCTAATTTATAAATATATGTTCATTTGAAACGACTTAAGCATTGATTTTAGAGTCTTTTGAAAATGCTCTCATTAATTAATGTTGTTATCTTTGACAAAATTTTAATATGGCACCTTCATCAGTTACATCAATAGTAATTTCCATCGGTAGTAATATTAATGTTAACAATAAAAATTGATAATTTTCATCGACAGTAATATTAACGTTAGCGATAAATTGCAGCTACTTTTATGGATTAGAAGAACTCAATGCTACCATAAAAAAGAACACACTTATCATCGGATTTAAAAAAGAAAACTCACTCTCTAAACAAATTAAAGAGTTACTCGAACTAGAGGAGCAAATGAAAGAGAAGACAAAGCACTCTAGAAAACCCCCGAGAAGATGAAGACGAAATGACATATTGATCTAGGGTTTCAACCAAGGAAAGAATATATCGAGATTGAGGTAGCTATTGATCCAACGGTTCATAGTAGTTTGCACCTTTAGTAATAAGGTAAAATAACCATAAAGTGGCTATTTTATATGGCAAATCCAGGTGAAATACATAGAGAAGCTATGAAGTGGCTTCTTAGGAACATTAAGGGGACCTCAAACTTAGGGATTCAGTTCAGAAAACAGGCTGAGGG